ATAATGGGCAATGCAAGAGCGAAATCATGAGGCCTTGGCGCCGCCGTGAAGCAGCGTCGGGACTTCACGCGAAGACGACGAGTAATCGGCAAAACAAAATGAGATTCTGATGATATTGTTGAATTCGGTGTTGTAGTTCGAGGGTTTATGGCTTCGGATACGCGAAAAGCGCGTAACCTGCGAGGGTTTATGGCTTCGGTCTCGCAACTATAGGGTAAGTTACGCAGGTGGATGGCTTCGGAGACGCGAATCTGCGTAATTTGCGAGGGTGTATGGCTTCGGGGTCGCAAACATTGTGTCATTTACGCAGGTTTATGGCTTCGGAGACGCGAATACTGGGTAATTTACAAGGGTTTCGGGTCTCTGGACGCGAGCATTGTGTGATTTATGACCGTTTGTGGCCTCGGGGACGCAAGCATTGCGTAATTTACGAGGGTTTATGGCTTCGGGGAGCCTGAGAACTGGAACTGGCGCAGGGAACAGCAAACCTTCGGCCTACAGCCTGGTGACCCAACGAGGAGGCCGGCGGATCCCATGTGCTCCTCTGGTCGTAGAATTTGTGGGGATGCCGCGATCCAGAACCACTGGAAGAGGAGGAGACGGAGGTGGAGGAGGAGGGGAAGGGCAGGGTCATCGCGCAGCCCGGCTGGCCCGCGGGAGAATAGGCCAAACGCCACGAGCTCCTGGACGAGTACCCTGTCCTGAAGGACCCCGTCCGCCTGGAGCGCGTAATGGTCGTCACGAGTTGGAATTGGTACGGGCTTACTGTCTTACATATCAGGGTTGCGTCGGATTGAAATATTTGCGTTGAACGTGTGGGAGTGCACATCTTTCGCGCGACAGCTGGGAAACGCTCTGTATTTCTTAGTCTACTTTTGAACAGTGTACAACCTCAACGTGAGAGCGGTGAGAGTTCCATCAGCGAGAGGTGGAGTAATCACAAGTGAAATGCTGATGCCCCTCGGAAAATTGTGTAAGAGCGCTCTGTGGTCGCTTGGAGGGGGGGGGGTGGAACCGGACACCCCCCCTCCCCTGGATGGAGGGGTGTGGGTTCGAACCCTCCCCCCCCCCGTCCCGTGACGGAGGGGGGCGGTTCGAACTCCCCCACCCCCCTCCCCTCCCTCTCCTCCCCTACTTTTCCTCTCGCCCTCTCCTCGGGCCGGCGCCTGCGTCGGCGGCGGTTGGCAGCGGCGGCGGTGTGGACGACGACTTCCTTTTCTGGGCCGGCGCCCGCGCCTGCGGCGGCGTGCGGCGGCGGCGGGGAGCGTCGACGAGGACGACGGCGACGACGATGACGACGACGACGACGACGACGACGGTCCGCCACCGTGCTTTGGTTTTGGGTCAGAATCCTAATGGATGCCTCTTGGGGTCTCCTCGGAGGGCTCTCGGGGGCCTCTCAAGGGCATTTGTGCAGCCTCTTGGGCGTCTCTTGGGTGGGGCCTCTCTGAGATGGTGGTGGTGGTGGTGGGCTGTGCTGGTGGTGGTGGTGGTGGTTGTGGCGGTGGTGGTGGTGGTGGTGGTGGTGGTGTGGTTGGTTGTGGTGGTGTTGGTTGTTCTGGTGGTTGTGGTGGCAGGTTGTGGTGGTGGTGGTGTGTGGCGGTGGTGGTGGTGGTGGTGCGGTGGTTTCTGGTGGTGGTGGTGGTGGTAGTTGTGGTGGTGGTGGGTTAAGGTGGTGGTGGTGGTGGCCGTGGTGGTGTGGTGGTTTGTCGTGGTGGTTGCGGTGGTGGTACTGGTTGTCGTGTTGGTGGTGGGTGGTGGTGGTGGTGGCGGTGGTGGCGGTTATGTTTGTGGTTGTGGTGATGGTGGTTTGTGGTGGTTGTGGTGGTGGTTGGTGGTGGAGGTGGTAATGGTGTGGTGGTTTGTGGTGGTGGTGGTGGTGGGTTGTGGTGGTGGTGGTGGCGGTGGTGGTGGTTGTGTTGGTGGTGGTGTGGTGGTTTGTTGTGGTGGTGGTGGGTTAGGGTTGTGGCTGTGGCTGTGGTTGTGGTGGTGGTTTGGTGGTGGTTTGTGGTGGGTGTGATGGGTTGTGGTGGTGGTGGTTGCGGTGGTGGTGGTTGTGGTGATGGTGATGGTGGTGTGTTTGGTGGTGGTGCTGGCTGTGGTTGTGGTGGCGGTGGTTTGTGGAGATGGTGCTTGAGGTTGTGGTGGTGGCGGTGGTGGTGGTGGGGTGGTGGTTTGTGGTGGTGGTCGAAGGTTGTGCTGCTGGTAGTGGTAGCGGTTGTGGCGTTGTTGGTGGTGGTGGTGGTAAATTCTGGTGTTGGTGGTAATGGTGGTGGGTTGTTGTGGAGGTGGTGGTGGTGAGTTGTGCTTGTGGTGGCTAAGGTGGTGGTGGTGGCTAGGGTGGTGGTGGTGGTGTGGTGGGTTTGTGGTGGTGGTGGTGGTGGTAGTTGAGGTGGTGGTGGTGGCAGTGGTGGTAGCGGTGGTGGTGGCGTTGCGGTTTGTGGTGGTGGTGGTGGGTTGTGGTGTTGGTGGTTGTGGTGGTGCTGCTGGCAGCGGCGCTGCTGGTGGTGGTGTGCAGGGGTTGGTGGGTGGTGGTGGTGGTGGTGGTTGTGGTGGTGGTGGTGCGGTGGTTTGTGGTGCTGGTGGGTTGTGGTGATGGTTGTGGTTGTGGCGGTGTTGGTGATGGTGGTGGTAATGGTGTGTGGGTTTGTGGTGGTAGTGGTTGTGGTGGGTTGTGGATTGTGGTGGTGCTGGTGTTGGTGGTGTGTTTGGTGGTGGAGGTGTTGTGGTTTGTGGTGATGGTGGTGGTTGCGGAGGTGGTGGGTTGTGGTGGTTTGGTGGTGGTGGTTGTGGCGGCGGTGGTGGTGGTGGTGGTGGTTTGTGGTGGTGGTGGTGGTGGTGTGGCCTTTCGCTCTTCCCGCCACCGTGTGTTGGCTTTGGGTCAGAGTTCTAATGGATGATGCCCTTTGAGGTCTCGTCAGAAAGGTTTCGGGGGCGTTTGAGGAGCATGCGTGAAGCCTCGTGGACCTTCCTCAGGGCCTCTCGGTGGCTTCTAGGGGGCGAGGGCTACATCGGACTTGTATGTCCTACCGGTGGAAAGCTGTACAGTTCCCGTGTGAGCTATGTACCGATGCCGCAAAATGTATATATAGCTTCCATGTAAGCGATATGTGCATCCCACACAGGAAGGACATAGGCTTCATTTCGTAGTTCAGCCAGTGCCACTAAAGACGCGACGCATCCATCTGGTATTAAAGTTCCTTTCAAGCGGTAGCGGAGTCGCTGCCTTGTGAAGGCTGCAGTGTTCCAGCACGGAAGTTTGATCTGCATGTTGGAATCTTCGAACCACCACATGCGATGTGCATGCCCTCCGTGCGGGAACATTATAGGATTCGCAGGGGTATTGGTACATCTAAATATCATTTGGTAGTTCGACAGTTCGAACGAAGATTATGTGTTTTCCTTGTACGGTGGAGTGTTGTTTTCCGATAGGTTCAGCTGTGCGCTTTTTAGTTTGGCGAATTTGGCGTGTAACACTTGCAATTATGAAATATTCGTACGTTCCACACGGGCTCGCTCGTGGCTTCGCATTAAACGCTTCTGGATCCCATTCGAAGCAATAAGGCAGTGCATCGCTTCCATCTGGCAAATTTGTTGTGTTCGCATGTTCATGGCATTCGTGTTTGGGAGCGGTCGTATTTGTAGTCGTCGTCGTAGCCGTCGTAAGATTAGCTTTAGCATGCGTAGTCGCAGTAGTAGTAGTAGTAGTAGTAGTCGTAGTCGTAGTCGTAGTCGTAGTCGTAGTCGTAGTCGTAGCCGTAGTCGTAGTCATAGTCGTAGTCGTAGTCGTAGTCGTAGTCGTAGTCGTAGTAGTAGTAGTAGTAGTAGTAGTAGTAGTAGTAGTAGTAGTAGTAGTAGTAGTAGTAGTAGTAGTAGTAGTAGTAGTAGTAGTAGTAGTAGTAGTAGTAGTCGTAGTAGTAGTCGCAGTCGTAGTAGTAGTAGTAGTAGTAGTAGTAGTATTAATAGTAGTAGTAGTAGTAGTAGTAGTAGTAGTCGTAGCAGTAGTAGTAGTAGTGGTAGTGGTAGTCGTAGTCGTAGTCGTAGTCGTAGTAGTAGTAGTAGCAGTAGTAGTAGTAGTCGTCGTCGTCGTAGTAGTAGTAGTAGTAGTAGCAGTAGTAGTAGTAGTAGTAGTAGTAGTAGTAGTAGTAGTAGCAGTAGAAGTAGAAGTAGAAGTAGAAGTAGTAGTAGTAAAGTAGTAGTAGTAGTAGTAGTAGTCGTTAGTAGTAGTAGTAGTAGTAGTAGTAGTTAGTAGTAGTAGTAGTAGTAGTAGTAGTAGTAGTAGTAGTAGTAGTAGTAGTAGTAGTAGTAGTAGTAGTAGTCAGTAGTAGTAGTAGTAGCAGTAGTAGTATAGCAGTAGTAGTAGTAGTAGTAGTGGTAGTGGTAGTAGTCGTAGTCGTAGTCGTAGTCGTAGTAGTAGTAGTAGTAGTAGTAGTTGTTGTCGTCGTCGTTGTCGTCGTCGTAGTAGTAGCAGTAGTACTAGTAGTAGTAGTAGTAGTAGTAGTAGTAGTAGTAGTAGTAGGAGTAGTAGTAGTAGTGGCAGTAGCAGAAGTAGAAGTATAAGTAGAAGTAGTAGTAGTAGCAGTAGAAGAGTAGTAGTAGTAGTAGTAGTAGTAGCAGTAGTAGTAGTAGTAGTAGTAGTAGTAGTAGGAGTAGTAGTAGGAGTAGTAGTCGCAGTAGTAGCCGTATAAGTAGTAGTAGTAGTAGTAGTAGTAGTAGTAGTAGTAGTAGTAGTAGCATCAGTAGTAGTAGTAGCAGCAGCAGCAGTAGTAGTAGTAGTAGTAGTAGTAGAGTAGTAGTAGTAGTAGTAGTAGTAGTAGTAGTAGTAGTAGTAGTAGTAGTAGTAGTAGTAGTAGTAGTAGAGGGGGTTCAACAAATAGGACGGCATGCCCGTGCTCAGTCTCGCGGGCCTATTCTGAAATCATATGTTTAAACTCTGTGTTTTGTTTCATGCCCTGCCGTCGTCGCGCGAGTGATACTCGAAAACCAAGTTTTAAACATGGTCGCGGTTATCCATCCCCCAGATTTTTCTCCGGATTGTCCTCCAGATCTTCACCCAGATCTTCCCCCAGATGCTTCATGTGATCTCCCCGCAGATATTCACCCACATCTCCTCCCAGATCGTCACGCAGATCTTGAGGTCTTCCTCCAGATCGTTATTCAGATCTTCCCCTCTTTCTCCCCCATAAATCCCTTCCCGGATCTTCACCCAGATCTTCGCCCAAATCCTTTCCTAGATCTTCACCCAGATTTTCCTTGAGATTCTCGCCCAGATGTCCCCCCATATCTCCCCCCAGATCTTCCCCCAGATCTTCTCCCAGATCTTTCCCCAGATCTTCCTCCAGATCTTGCCCCAGGTCTTCCCCAAAATCTGTCCCCCAGATTTTCATTCAGATCTTCCTCCAGATCTTTCTCCAGATCTTCCCCCAGATCTTCGCTTTGTTGTCTTCGCCCAGATCTTCCCCCAGATCTCACCCCCAGATCTTCCCCCAGATTTTCCTTCAGATCGCCACGCAGATCTCACACCAGATCTCCCCCCAGATTTCCTCCCAAAGCCTTCCCCAGATCTTCCTCCAGATTTTCTCTTAGATTTTCCCCCAGATCTTCCCCGCGCGTCGTTCTCCAGATTTTTCCCACATCTTCCCCAGATCTTCCGGCAGATCTTCCACTGGATTTTCCCCCGGATTCTTCCCCAGCATTTTCCCCCAGA